CAATGTATCACTATTACATCATATATGCACTTCACAAGCTTTAACGAGAATTAGGAACATGTTTATTTATGCTTTAGCACCTTAACAGCTGTCACACATGCCTACATGCATTAGCATAAGACGCAGATAAATATACTCTGTAGCTAAGATAATATTCAGGACCTTTCGTTAAGAAAAAAATTATGTGAATAATGATATATATCAAGAAAGTAATGGTTTATATTAAAATATTTTTTGGAATCAGTCAGTCAAACTGGTTAAACAATTGTGACTTTTGTCCCATCTTTCAATCTTAATGTGGTACCTTTTGGCTGATTAAGATGGTTTAAGTTATTCTGTTTCACAAATAGAGATGAGATAAATATTTCGCCCGTTTGCTCAGAAAACAGAGAATCCTGGGGCAATGTATTTTTTTCAGGATATAATATCCCCCTCCGGTCAGAAGATTTTTCACACAATATTTCTGACTTCGAGCTTGCGAGAAGATGAGCTTCTTTATGTTTATTAGTCTTGAAACATAAGTTATCCCAATGATGTTTCATCAAGTCTTCAGACTTAACTTCATAGGCCCATCTACCCTATCCACTATAATATACCTTTCTTGGCCTTACTTCGGCAATTTTTATCAATTTCCAGCATTTAAAGCAGATAGCCATTTGACTTTTATGGATACTAGGTCTACGATACTCATGTGGAATATCTCTTAATCCATCAATATCATAGTCATAGAACGTCTTGTTTTTTCCTTGTCCAAATGAAGCGAAAAGACAGTACACATGGTATAAACTATATTCTCGCTTAGAAAGTAACTCTTGCAAAGCATCTCTTATGCGAAAAGCCCATTGCTGTGGCGTTTCATGAGGTTTAATAATAGATAAATAATCATATCGTCTTTCTATTTCAACCATTTTTTTAAGACTATAGTCATCATTATAAGTCTGAACGTTATGAACATGCTTCAAATCATATCCAGGACGAAGATTGATAGGTTTAGGTACAGATTTATTATAAATATTATCTAATATGATCTTAACCATAGCACCGGGCATATTTATTAGTAAATTAGAGATTTATAGCAGTATCAGAGTTTTATAGTGTTTTTAGCGATTCTTAGCTGATTTAGCAATATTATACTCTAATAAATATCAAATTCATTTTTATACGAATTTACTGGTTAAAGAGACTTATAGCAGTTTTTGTGATGCTATATAGTGACTTTATTGATTGTAGCCGATTTGAGAGACTACATGTTGCTAAACTCAAATTCATTTTTATTCGATTATAGGGATTTATATGCATATGCACAGCATTTTCGGCTAAATCAGTTTGTGGTATGATGTACTGTATATCGTATCACATGAGATCTTCACCAATTCCCTGCTAGTTCCACGACAGTTCCTCGATAGTTCCAGGAGAGTTCCAGGCGCTGGCGAGTTTCCATAAATCACGAGATGATCGGCCAATCATATTTCACCTCCCTTGTTCTATTGCATGATAGCTAAGCCACCGTTATTATTTGATTAAATCATTACATCGGATATTGCGGATTTATTCGAGACCTCCCCTCCAACATCAAGACCGGTAACGCCATCCGTGGAAGCATCTGCCATTTCTAGGCCGGTCACACCTACCCTTCCTTCTTTTCCCAGAGTGCTAATGTTATTAATGTCACGATCAATAATAATTACGGTGCTCCAGATGAGCAAGAAGTTTGATTAGGATATTTTTTTTTCATTAATATAGGATAGCGTTTTTAATAAATTTAGTATTTTGTTATAATTGCAAGTGCGATATTAGGCGCAATAGAAAAGCAAATGTAATATCAGTTGTATATAATAAAAAATGATCCTGGGCTTGTGCTCCGAAATTTAACTCCAAATCTGGGCAAACTTTATTACGAAAATGGTCATAATTATTACATAGAAAATACATAAATTTCTCTTATACCACATATATACTAATTGGAGAACAGGCCCCCGGGGGCATGGTCGATCAAAAATACTATCATGTGATATGTTTTATCAAAGCAAAGCAATAACCTCTTTCACTATATAATCAACTTTAACATCACTTAATTTTGCAATTCTCGAAGCAGAGAAAGATCTTACTCGTTGTATCTTATCAGCTCCGATACGACGGAAGAGGTCATATATTTTTCGAGCCTTCCCTGTTCTTTTCCGAATCGCATTCTTTGTCACCTCCTTTGGAAGTTGTTTCCTGACTTCATCATTAACCGATTCCCGTGCTTCGTGATCCTCTTTTGTCTTTTTATGGTGTTCAAGACGCCGGTTCAAAGCCTCTCCAAAAAGATAATATGCCTGAATAACTTCCTGATTCGAATTTTCGTACCTCTCTTCGGCGTTCGTAATTTTGCTATACAAAGTTAAAAAAATGCTGGAATTACCTACTTCCTGCTGAAGCCTAAAGATGCCTTCTTTTTCTCTGACCTCCGAAACTTTAAGTGTGCCAATACTCAGCTCTCGTATAAAGTTTTTCAATGCACGAGAGTCCTCAACCTTAGTCTTCGCTTTCTTGATGGAGGAAGAATCCGTAGCTTCATTGGAGCGCTTTTTACTGTCGGCATCGGGATGAACTTCTACTTCATCGTCATCCATGTCTATTCCTTGATCCACCACCGATTGCTCTTCCTCTTCCTTATCTACGTCCATCGCTTGAGTTTGGTCAAGAGAAACTTTGGTAGAACCCGTCAGTTTGACCTCTGTATGAGTTTCTGATTCTAAAGGATCATCAGCATCATCCACGGGAGTTTGGTCTGAGTCTACTTGTTTGGCCATAGCGACAGTAGTAGCAGTGGTATTGGTAGTAGTGGCGTTCGTTTTATCCGCGGACGACTTTTGTAATTCCACCTCCTTATCCTTATCTTTTTCCAGCTCCGGAGAGAGAGAAGTTTCTATATCTTTGTTACACTCCTTATTCGGACATATCGCTTCACCATTCACGAGATGCTTCTCGAGGCACTTCTGGTGAAAGATGTGGCCACATGAAGCTAGAGTAAATTCTTTGATCGGGTCAGACGTATTCGAAAGTAACTCTTCTCCACATAGCAAACATGGATCCACTTTCGGAACTTGGACATTTCTAGCAAGGGTTCCGGGTGACAATTTGAGGATATTTATCGCTAGGGCTATGATTTGAGTTTTATCCATACTTCCTCGTTCACTTCTAGCACAGGGCTAAACTTGGGAAAAGACCTTTTACCAGCTTGTTTTTATATCACTTGTAAATTTCACAGGAGAAAACATTTCCCGGATTTTCACCAGCAATTACGCACTGCATTTCGTCATCCATTAACCCCCTTGCAAATCAATAAAAGAATGACGATAAGGAACAGGATTAGCATATACACCCCAAACCCCATATGCGAAATAATGATTGCTGGCAAAAATATCCATACCCGAATATTGTTTTGTAAAGTATGATAATAGCGTGGCCGGAGACATGACATGAGAAAATCAAGTCGAAAAAATAATGCTAATATATGCTAATCTTACGTCGCACAGCCCCTATTCTTCGGCAAGAATTTTACCGAATATCTTCTGCGCATTTCAGGTGATCGATACTTGAAATTTCGAAATCACGTGCGCGGGACAATATTAAAATTAACGTATAACCATTCATTTATATGCACATACACTGGTTAAAAAATAAGTGATCTGTTTAACGAAACTTTATAATTTTATTAAGCAATTTTGAATAATATAAACTTAGTTACATGGTAATATGCTAAAAAAACGCCAATTATTTCACTATTAAAATAGCATTATTAAACTGAGATTACCCAAACTATTTTGCTAATGTTATTTATATATGTAAATTATTATCATATTACAATGACTTCATCTATGTCCTCTGGTAGAGGTTTTAGATCATAGAAAAAGTAATCATCAGGTAAGAGTAGCCAATCTCGTACCTTCTCAGAATTGTCAACTAGAGCGGAAGAGTACATTTTTCTCCGTAACTTCTCCTGATTCACAAACTCAGTTCGAATTGTCATGAAGAAATTAAATATTTTTGTATAATAATGAATTGCATCGAATGAAAACGGAATCAAGCAAGAAACCAGTTCGACGGCCAAGAACTTCTCTTTGCCTATGAGAGAGACTGAGAACAACGTAAGACGATCCCCAATAATTTGAATGCTGTATGATTTTATTTCTTTAGCAATTTCGATACTGCAATCTAGGTTATTTCCAAGCATTCGGCAAAGGCTACATAGAGACATCATAAGCAACTTTTTAGCATCTCCGACTGTGTGTTCTCGTGTAACTTTAAAGGGAGGTCCAGAGACTTCAGTGTTCATTATTTCTAATCCGTCTGATAAACGTATGACAAGTAGATCCGTTTTTCGTGGACTGATATCATCTGCAAACATATTGTTTGCCTCTTTTATTGAAGCAACGTTTTTTTCGATCCAATCGTATTTAATATCCGGAAATGCATTTCGGAATGCACGGAATATAGGTGAAAGAGATTCCACAATATATGTTCTTTCAGAGATTTCACGGTCTAAAACTCTCGGCATTCTGTACCTGAAGTTTGCGACGAAATCTAGGAGTGTGTCCCTTATGAAGAAATTAAATCTTGCTTCCTCTGTCTGGTTGTCGCCGTTAATTTCTGTTTCCGAAATGATTTTTGACTCGATCTTTGTGTATTCTGTTTCAAATAACGCATCCAGCTTATTAACAATTGTTTCTTGCAAAATAAGTCGGTCTTTTGCTTGTAATAGATTTTTTATTTCTATATAGACTCCCTCTTCAACAGATTCCTCGATGTAATTTATTGTTGCGTTAAATGCGCAAATGAGGTATGGTGAATATCTATCATACATAGTTTTTGTTATGATAGGTTTTTGCGGTGTAAAAATTGAGGCTTGTTGGGTCGATTGAATAACTGAACGTGGTGTATCATGCGAAATAGAAATAGTATTTAATGATGTCTGTTGGATCGATTGGATGACTGGACATGGTGTGCCTTCACGCGAAGTAGTAATATCTTCTGAAATTTCTGATGGTGTCGGGGATTGTTGGGATGTGCCTGGAGTAATTTCATGCGAAGTAGTATCTTCTGGTCCTGATGGTGTCAGTAATTCTGAAATTTCTGGTGGTATCGAGGATTGTTGGGATGTGCCTGGAGTAATTTCATGCGAAGTATTATCTTCTGGTGTCTCTGAAGTTTCTACGATAATGTCACCTTTGTCCATATCATCACAGTTCGCTTTTCCTCGTAATCGCTTTGATCCTGATTCCTTTTTCTTGATAAATTCAATAGTATTGGAAATCAGAATACTTATAATCGCGCGAAACAATAAAAAATTACTTACTTTCTTGGGTTTCTCCGTGTAGTCTGCATCCGATGAATGATTTTCCTCTGAACTTTCGGCATAATTTATTGTTTTTCTTTTTCTAGACGATTTCTTTCATACAAGAAAAGTCATAAATCAGTTTCAAATGTAATTATTCTTTAAGTCTTAACAGGACTCACCTTTTTTGTCGGCTTCACATCACGATCAATAGTGGTGAGATCATCGGCGATGTTCTTATGGAATTCCACTACTGTGGTGGTATGTTCTTGCAAGTGTTTCGACTGTATCAGAAATAGGAATTAGTAAATTTCAAGAAGCACAAATAATAAAAACAGTACCTTGACTTTAGCCATTCGTATATTTTCTTCGCTTTTTATTCGTGCCAGTTGAAGGGTTTCGTTATCTCTTATTTTCTTCAGATCCTCTAAACATTTGAAATAATCGCCCTTGTTTTTATTCGATTTCCAAGGCTACAAAATTTTACAGCAAATCAAAATTTAAAAATTATCCTTTACAAATGAGAAATTATTATTTTACACATGGGATCCGTAGCGAACCAACAGTTCAACACCCAGACGACCAACAGTCCCGAAATGTGCTACGGGAGACTAAAAGACATTCTTAAACTACAGCGAACCAACAGTTCAACACCCAGACGACCAACAGTCCTGAAATGTGCCAATAGTTTAAACCCAAATGAAGACTAATACTTGCCTCTAGATTCGTGAACATATAATCGGCTTTCAGCTTAGCATAGTCTGAGACAGGATTATCACGCACATCTTGAATACTTTTTTTCATCCTATCCAAAATTCTCTTTTTGTCGCATGAAACATTAAGGTAGCACCATTCAGCCAGATTATCAAGAGACCAACTTTCAGGAGAAGTTTCGCTGAAATAACCACTCATCGTTTAGTAAAATGTGTCGATAAATATGACAAACGCGTGAGGCAGTTGTAAATACTACGACTATCGTACACGTGATGGTGATTCTCCTCGTAGATTTAGATATGCTGGAACTTTCGAGAAAAAAATGATGGACAAAGGCGGAAAAAAATGTCACGTAATGGCCGGCATTAAATGTGGCGCACATGTGACAGAGATATTGTGTGACGAATAGATTTTTGTCAAATCTGTCCCAGTGTGTAAAATCTATGTGCACAATGTGCACTTAATTTTTTGTGTGCACATATTACACAACATAAAATGTGCATAAATTATTACTAAAAATAGATAAATTATGTATAAAAAAGGTAATTTTACATAAGAAAATGTTATGATTTTCTTATTTTAGTAATAATTAATCAATTTGTGCACATAAATTTTAACTTAGATTTTATACACTGATCTGTCCCCAGAATACTTAGTAAAAATGAAATGTGGACGGGTGTGACAGGAGGTGACAAAAAATTATCACGTGATTTTTCGTTCATATATGTCGGTATTTTATTAAATCGATAAAAATAAATACAAGTGCAGGATTAGTTCGATAAGCTTTATGCTACAATTGCGAACTTGAGTTTATTGCTTGACGTGTTGCAGGTAAGACAATATTCTAAATTATCTTGGGAATACAACTCCGCTAATTCAGGATCATAAGGGAACTGATTCCCATTCTCGCAGTACCATGAGCCATGTAGTCCATAATTTCCATGTTTTCCATTGCAAATAGGGCATGGTGAGCTCCACGGCTGAAGTGATGCAAAATTATAATTATCAATTCCCCTAAAACTATTTCGGAATTTCAGGTACGGGGAGTGCTCTAAGACGGATTTGATAATTAATTCCGGATCAGGTTTGGCTTCGAAAGTGATAGGCCCTTCTTCTTCACATTGCTCGGGAAAAGATGATGCTTTGTTTTCTGGTATCGAATTTATGACTTCCGATTTATGTACTTCTGTTAGTTGCCATGGCTCATTTCCAGTTTCTTTTTTATATCTTTTGTATAATTTGGAACGAATCTTATCTGTCAAAATACTTGGTAACCCAGATAATTTAGCATGCCAATCTAGATATTCGGGGGTTAATACTTTATCGGACTTGGTCATGTCACCTTTTTCTATAATTGCAAATCAATCTAATTGGGTATTAGTTGATATGTGTAAAAAAATAAATAATAAAGCAATTGTAGTCTCAAAATGACCTGACTATGCAACAATCTCAATTTCGCGCTGTTCACATTTAATAAAATAGGATCTGGCTTCATATCTACCTTCTATACCTTCCTCATCATCATGCTCTATCTTGCATAGTGGACAGACCCCACATAATTTCTTGTCAGTAATTCCGTAATAATCAAAATTTTCACTACTAAATTCCCTATATAAAGTAGGATATTGATCCAATGCTTTGTCGCGAAAATAGGCGCGGTCGTAAGTTGGATTAGTCATAGGAATTTGTGGATGAGATGCAGGTGAAATATTTACCCCAGACTTTAAAGATGTATTAAGTGCTTGTTCCTCCGATGTGTTAGAAGTATGTGACAACTCAGAATTTTTCTTATCACTTCCTGAACCGAGATCAGGATGTGACAATTCAGAATTTTTCTCATCGCTTAGCAAAGTGTCTTTTGGTAGAGCACAGGTGGACGATTCTATCTTAATGCTGTAGTCAACTGACATATTATCTATGATATACTGAATGTCTTCATACGTCATTTTTGAAATACTGCTAACAGAGAATGAATGTATCCGATAAATTTTATCCATGCCTATTGCATCAAAAAGCTTCCAGAGTTTCTTGGCCTGCTCGATTCTTTTCCATAAGAGTGCATCAGAAGTATCTGCAGGAAGCTGAGCTCTAACTTCCTCATTTAGAATTCTACTGATGGTATTAGATTCCGGGTTAACTTGTTTTTCAGATGCTATCTCACCTCGTCTCTGAATAAGAGCTTTCCCAAATTGACAATAACACAAAATAGCTTCTTGGGTTGCACGATCAGCAAGGACAACGGCATCACAAAGCTTTTCATACAAAAGAGAAAAGGTTGGCGTTCCCATCTCTACTGCTAAGGGATCACAGCTTCGTACTGTTTGCACTAGACAAACATTCAAAGAATTTGAGCCTGGCTCATCTATAGTATTTGAACAATTGGTGCTTGAATCTGATTCTCTTTGGGAAGATACTGAAGGTATCGAATCATCCTCGGACACTTCCTGAATGAACTTTTCCCTTTGTTTTTTCTGATTTTCCTTACGAAGCACCCTTTTGTCAACCGATACCTGCTTATCTTTTTCAGAGGAAATGGATTCCACTTTCACAAGCTTCTCCTCCCGCTTTCTCTGCCTAATCTCATCACCAATCCTTTTCTTATTCACTTCATCCAGAAAAGAGTCCATCATTTTTTCCTCCGATGGCTGAATGTTTGCGTCATCACTAGGAGATCTATTTATGGGCTGGTTTATTACAGGATCAGGTATATCATGGGAAGCATCTTGCTGTGGTACAGCTGATATCTCTTCTTCTCTAACAGAGCATGAGTTCTGCATGTTAATAATAACGTGCTGGGGTTGCTGAGGCCTCGTGAGATTGGAGGAATCGAAATCATGTCTTAGTTTGGCTAGTTCAGCTTTAAGCTCAGCATTTTCAGCTGAAATATCTACACTATTTTTCTCCAATTCCTCGATTCTAACCTTGTGTTCGACATTCTCAGCATCACGCCTGGCATTCTCTTCAATAATCTGTCTCAACTTTGCGTTCTCAGCCTCAAGCTCAGTAATATGCTGTTGCAATGATTCAACCTCAGATGTCATGATCGATAATATTCTATAAAAGATATGAAATATTCAATAGTCTGTTAGTGCATATACATTCTGCTAAGAAAAATATGTAGGTTATGAAGTCACTTCCTGAACTGAGATCAGGAAGTTTTGCCAAGAAAAAAATTTTTATTAATAGGGGTTTACTAAAGTAAATGACCATCATACAAGTAGGCATCATTATGACAAACTTATTCGTTGTCTCTCTCTTTCGAGTCGACGATAAATTTTTTTGGCATGCTTGGAGCAATAGCCCGTATAAGATAATGTAGGTTTAAGGCATATTCTACATAGTGATTTTAGCATATTATTTGCATCTGATTTCCAGTGGAGCGAACATCCTGCCAAGCAGGTGCAGACTCGGCCACAAGTGCTCCCATCCTTTCTAATATGTGGGCAGGTAAGACAATCCATTTAATATATTCTTGAACCTTTCTCATTATAGAATCCGAATTTCAAATTATGAAAAAATCCGAATCGAACTGTGGTGGAAAAAGTATATCATAAACGATCAATCATATACCACAGCATAAATCATGTCATCTATGAACATGGAAAAAACAGTACTCAACATTCTAACCGGCCGATGGATCGATCCAAACAGAAAGCTATTCCAGAAGTTGATTCGTGAAGGCTATAAATATGTTGATAGACTCTCAGATTATTTAGAAGACATTGGAATCATATATGTAGGTGAATTTGAGCTGGATCCCTTAGTCGACTTCTACCACCCAGCTTTAATTCCGCCTTTATCTATCTTAGCTAGTAGATCAGATATTTGTAAAAACTTCCCTATTAGTGCAGAATCTGTTGTTGTAGGAGAAATGAGTTTATTCGCCCTGGAAAAAAATAAACGTTCCTCGTTTCAGAATCTAATCCGAATGAATTATTCCAGTGATAACTTGTCCACACTAATAGGATTGAGTTGGGAGCGTGAGGAGACGAAAGCCTGGAGGGATGACATACTTATGAAATTCCTCCATCACCCGGATTTAGCCCCTTCGAAGCACAAACCAAGTGCTTTATATGATGCATTTACCAAGACGAGTGTTTTAGGGCCAGAACATATATTGGCTCTATCACAGCTACTCGGTTAAAATTCAATTACAATACAAATTTGTTTATAGCCTTGGAATGGCGGTTCCATGACTATATATTTTTTTGCTTATCATATATATCTGCAAAATTCAATTTTTTTATTATTATAAATAAATACAAAGTTCGGGACGTAGCCCGCGATACATGACGTCTATCTAATATACATGATTATTTTTTCGATCGATATCCCTCCACCCTAGCTTTTTTCTTTGAGGGGGGGTTCGTCTTCCGCACTTGCCCTATCTATTAACATTCCAACTACCATACCCAAAACCTTTTTTACGCCACTATGTAACGTTTTATATTCTTCGGAATCTTTGACCAAGGCCTTCTTGTTGAATTCGATAGCTAGCGGAAGCTCACTCGCCTGAGAAATTTCACCCGGACTATAAAGCAGGAAAATGCCAATCCCTGGCGGTGGTCACGATACCATACAGATAATCGAAATCATCATCCTCACGTTTTCGTGCAAAATTTTGATATAAGGGTCTATTGCATAATCTCCTGTCTCTTCTCCCCAACATGAATACAAGCCCAGAGAGAATGTAAATGGATTCATTTAAAAGGGTAGTATATGAATTTTTTAGATATTTGTCGCTTAGTATTTTTGATACACTAACAAAACTAATATTATTTTCCACGTAAACATGTCTAACAGCTTGGCCGGTAAAATTTATAATTTTCTTACTACCTCCCCAATGGAACATATTACCGCTTTCTCTGTAGTCTATCAAGCTATGGAG